ACAAAGAAACAATATTTATAACAATAACAAGCAGCACATATTGGCACACTGGCACAGGCTCAGTGTACATCTGTCTGATGCAGAGTCTCTACCCACAACCTGGAGGAGGAACTTTACCAGATGTATTAAGGTAAGTTCAGGTGGCGAGTCCGACTATGTTTTGAACGATTAAGGGGTTACGGTAGGTTGTTGTCTTAAAAGTTACTAGCACAATGTTCATAAAACATTTTTCTCATTGCACGTTGGCTTATCTGTTTTTAGGGGCACATGCGAGAGCCCGGTATGGGTGGAGAAAATGAGCAGACAGCAGTGCACACACAGAAGAGAACGTCACATTTTCTTATAAAATCGCTCACTTTTTATGTAATCGCACATGACGACATTGCGATTGTGATTGCGATTAGATTAATCGTTCTATCCGCACTATCTGACAGTGGCGATCCAAGGGAAGGTCCTTTCATGTTTCTATTGTTGTCTCAGGTAATTTCCTTTGAAAGAAAAAGTCGATTTTCATGATTCTCTGAGAGTAGAGCATTAGACTCTCCTTTCCTCCTCCTTTTTTTGTCAGATAAAAGCAAATGTGCTCACAATGAACATAAGACACAGAGGTCTCCCGGAGAACGATGTAAAACTGAGGGCTAAAAAAATGACCTCTTAGGAAGAAGCAGCAGAAATGACATCAGAATCATCAGTTACTGCCACATCCTGGAACTTCTTCTGCAAAGTTCTGATAGAAATCATGGGGGATTATCTGTAAAAAAGGAGATTGTTATACAAGAAGTCTGAAACTGCAGGGGAAACCTGAGATACACCAACACGAAGAATTCATGGCTCAAATTTATTCCAGGGGCTCAAAGCCACTTCTCTTGTACCCATATAGCTAAATTGAACTATTAAATTAAACAGGACATTAATAATCCAGTTGCATGTTTTTTCTAAACTACCCTGTCTCCATGTTTAAGTAATTGTAATTGCTCTCTTCAGTTCACTTGCAACACTTATTTAAACTTGTCTTGTCTTTTTCTTTGTCTTCCAATTCAAGTAGTATGACATTCTTGTAACACACAAATGTCAGTGGTTGGATGAACAAATCACACGTAATGAAAATGAAGACGGAATAAAATTAAAGTTACATTTTGTAAAAATGGGGATTACACATAGGGATTACTTTAAGCACAAAGTTTCCATAAAACAGAAAGAGGAGTGCTATTTGCTGTTTAAGCGTTTCCTGTAAAAACACACAGCCAGGGAGGAATCTGTCGCAGATATTGATTGCCAGTGTAGCCAGTAGTTGAATGGGGTCAGGCAGACTCTGTGCGGATTGATTCCAGCTCTCAGTGAATGAACAAAGTCTGACCACTGGGAACACAGTACGAAGGTGGTTTTCTTTTCGGTTTGGCTCTTGTCACCGCGGGGCTGAGGCATACCGAGGCTCAAACTAACAGTTTCAGAGATTTGTTGCCCGCTCGCCTGCTGGGTCCCCTGACCTGAAAACCTAGTGTTTGAGTAAAGGTGTAAACCTAAACACACAGCCCGGTGCTCCGAGTTCCCAGTACGGGCAGAATGAGCTAATTTGACCAGTAGCTGCAGGCTAACTGAGCTAATTAGATAATGTCAGCTAGCTAGCGGCAGTTAGCTAACTTGCTACAGCAGCAGGTAAAGCGATCTGTCCATCTGGGAGTCTGTAAATCACAAAGTTGAGGCAGAGGAGCTGGGAAACATCAGAGAGAAAGCTAGGAAATATTTTCCATCAAATATGATTCAGTTTCAGCAAAATCAGTGAATGAAGTTGTACTTCACTGGAGCCTGGTCCCAGAAACACTGTTTTTCAGAAGAGTCATGAAAATTAAAGAAGCATTTCATTGGACACTAAATGGATGCAGCCCCTAGTGCAGGATGATTCATCAACATTTTAAAATTGTTTTCCTGGAAATGACACACTCTAAAATGTCTTCTATAAGACCTACAAAACAAATTTTTGTCATTGATGGGCCAGATCCTGTTGTACAGGCCCAGTGCAAGGCATCATATAAAAACATTTAAATATCGATCTTGATTTGATAATGGGACATTTTAAAATTGTATGTTTCTCTAAAAATACCCCAAGCAGACACCGCATCTTGCCTTTATTTACATATTTGGTATCGAAGTACTCCAAAAGTAACTAAAAGTAATCAGGTTACATTACTTTCATTTAGTGGTACTTGGATTACATTACGGATTATATTTTTAAAGTAACCCTCCCAACCCTGTTGGTTAGGTATCGAAAAGGTTGCGCCTCAGGAGGTAAAGCAGGTCATCCACCAGTGGTTCGCTCCATGGCTCCTCCACTCTGCATGTTGAAGTGTCCTTAGGCAAGATACTGAACCCCACATTTTTGGTATGTGAATGTTAGTTACATTCTGATTAGCATTTGGCACCTTGCATGGTAGCCTCTGTCATCAGTGTATAAAATGGGTGAATGTCATATGTATCGTAAAATGCTTTGAGTGGTCGAAAGACTAGAGAGAAGCTATGTAAGTACAGTAGTACCATTAAGTACCATTTACCATTCAAAGCACACTGTCTAATGCTTCAAGTCAGTGTTGACTTTTTCAATATTTAAACAAAACCACCATCTGTCACAAAGTGCTTTAAGTTGTCTAAAGACAACCATAAATTGTTTGTTATCTTTTAGTTGTCAGGAAAAGATAGTGTAGGAAAACAATTTAAACATTTTGCAGATATGTTTGATATAAAGATTTCTTTCTTATGTTATTAGAAAATACAATCCAGTAGGCATTATAGTTCCTACAAACATATTTGCTTCTGCAGATTAAGTTGCCCATGATAACTTTTATTGCCAGGTAAAAATAAATAATTAATTTCACTAATTTAAACAATTGCACAAGTATATAAATATGATACATAAAAGATACAAACAGAAGCTGAATGGTATTTTTATCATGGATTTAAATTTACCAAGCGGTACCAAAACACAGATTTTTAGGGTGCTTTCTGAGGAGCTCCAGGTAGTCAGACGATAGAAACTAAAAGCACATCTTCCAAGATCAGTACAAACTCACGGGACTTGAAGAGGAAGCCAGTCATTAGACTGTGTTTGATATGGTCCAAATGACCAAACTAGCATATAAGAGATGGCAACTTCCCAATGAGAGCCTTGAAAATAAACAAATACATATGTTTATCTTGTCTCCCAGACCGAGACCACCACCCAACTTTTTTTTGTACAAGATGCAATGATGAGTGCTATAAACACTGTTGTCAAACTGGCCTCCATTGGTCTTGGCGGCTGGGTTTCATTCCAGGTCCAGCAACTAGATGGCATCAGGAGAGTATGTAGTGTTAGTCCTGACTCACCTTCGTAGTGGTTTCCCTGTCGTCCAATTGGACTCCGTCTGTCTCGGAGGCTGTGTTCAGTCCTGGTCTGGCTGTTTTCACTGGAGGCTGCTGACCCTGGTTCTGTTGACCGCTCGCCCGGTTCCGGTTCTGGTGCCCATCCCAGCACTGTTCCCCGCTGGCATTTACCCCAGCTTTGGCGCTGAAGACCACTGTTCACATCCTGCCTTCTACTAAAAGTCACGGATGCTTTTTTAAAAACCATGACCATAACCTAAAGTATCTCTAGTTGTTTAATCATGACCAAACCTTAAATGAGAACAAAGTCTGTTTCCAGCTGTTGGGGAACATTTATTATGAAGCCTTTTGTGGGTCCAGAGGGAGCTGTGGGAAGTTTCATAAAGTGACATCATTGAGTCGGCTGCGGTCATAAAACACGCATATGAGTCATATTGGAAGTGTTTTGTTGTTAAGGTCAGAGGACTTTTTCTGAATGATTGTATAACTTTTCCCAAAACAAAAATGTATGCTGTCAGATTAATTTACAGATAGGGGCCTCAGCTTGATAATCAGTTAACTTAATAATTGAGGGTACTCAATCTGATTTAATAAATTGCAGAGGTAAACAAAGTGGAACAATTATTGTGCTGTCTTTAAGCTGCATTATACCTTATGGAAAAAATGTGCTGCCTACTGGAAAAGAAATATCAGCTTTTCAGCCGTAAACAACACTGATAAATACTGCTCAACGCTTATTCATGAAGGCTTTGTGATCACTTCTGATTTCAACAACAAAGAAATACCATTGGTCAGATCAATTCAATTATATTTTCACTTTTAATAAATCCACCCCTAACATGATATAGCCTATGACTGGAATATGACTTTCTTGAAATTTGGATTAGCAACCTGAGAAGAAAGTCAAAAACAGAATGAGACACAGGACACTTCTAGCTAGCTAGCCTGTCAGATTTCCTTACTATTAGATTTTATTTTTTCTCTCAATTTAACTTCTCTTAAGTCCCATCCCATGTAAAATTGAACCCTAGTATTTACTGAGTCCTGTAGCCTGCATCAATTGGATTATGTGTGAAATGTTGATGATATGATGAAATGATAACACATCTCATTGTGAAAAGACAATTGGTAGCAGATATATCTGAGTCTACAGAGTATGACATGATGATATTGCACTCTACAGCTCCTGGGGATAATTATTATCATTATTAGTAGTAGTAGTCCTAGTCTTAGTAGCCTAATAGCTATAGCTAATTTCAATTAGCATCTTGACAGCCGTTTTGTCCGGCTCCTGGGGCTTAATATTTGCTTCAAAAAATAGACCTTATCTAGACGTTGCACTATGTTGGAGATTAGTGTAGTTTACATAATAATAGGGCAATTACATAAAGAATGCAACATACATCAGTCAACTGCAGCTTTGACCACAGCTCCCAATTTGGAGACTTCATTGAAAACGCCATGGTGATAAACTGCAGTGCTGAACTACCAAACCTACTCACTGTCCTGCGCAAATCATGGAAAGTCCTTTTATTGGGAGCCAGAGCGCACTGAAGCGTACAGCCACGTGCGGATGTGTCGGCTCCGCTTACGAGCCTGTACGCCTTTAAATGGCGTGTGCTGGTGCTGGGCAGAGGGCGGACCCGGGTTGCGAGTGTGTGCGCGTTTGTATGTGCGCGTGCGTCTCTTGCCTGCAGCCGCTGCAAGTCGCACCGAGCTAACAGCGGCTTTTGTGCGTTTGATGCACCGTGATCGACGCACCTGTGAGGAACGCCAAACCCAGCCCGGTACCAGCCTGGTGCTCGCCGCTCCGCAACAGCGGACACCTTGCTGCTTTTGACAGCATCCTGGATTTTAAAAACTACGGCTCTGTGGAGTTTACAGCTGGATTTTAGCAGTTGGATACTCTTGGTGGTCTGTTTAACTAAGGTCAGTAGCGTCGTGTCCTACTACTCCAACCTGTCCGTGTTGTTTGTACGCGTGCAAAACCCTTCTGAATTTAATGTGGTGAGCAGAAACTGGAGCAGGTTCCAGAGGAAATATGAGGCAGGGAGGTTGGCGTTTCCACTCCTGACGCACAGGTACCGCGGAACTTGCCACTTTCACAGGACTTTTTTTTCCATAGTGTGAGCACCGGAACGGTGAATGTGCGAGCAGGTGTGCGTCTCCTTGAAGGAACAGCGGCGTTTGTGAGGTTGAAAATGGTAATCTATCTCTACCATGTTGGCCTCTAATTCCCCCGGTGGAGTAAAGGCACGGTGACAGGCGGGTATAGAATTACACACATCCCCTCCGCTCCCCTGTGGAGATGTTTACCCTACTATATTAATTATCAATTGTATTTATTTTATATTATCTCTTGCAAATACGGCCATGCATTCACACCTCGCTTGTGTATCAAACGTGAAGGGAATTAACCCTGAAAAAAGACCCGCGGGCTTTTTATCACCTTGTTTTTAGGATGATGAATAATGAATAACGTGAACGCCAGGTGTCCAGTGTCCACGCATTGTTCTCGTCTGCAGCCTCACGTTAAAATGTCAAACACATGCACCCTGTCACGCCGCGCACAACCCTCTCCGCGCAACAGACGGGGCTAATATACTCTTTAAATATATATGCATATTTTGATGTAATTCGAGCATTCAGTAGGCTATGACATGCAGTTTGATACGTGACCTTCTGTGTTAACGGAGACGGACAGCACGCACCAGCAGGCTGCACACCTCCTCGCCATGCAATAACCACCACATTCCTCCATTACCCCGCTTCATCTGTCTGTATTCAGAAATCCAGCTGCTGCTTGCTCTTTTCACACACATTTACCTGACGAATCAAACGGACACCTCTGTTTCCTCTATTTAAGAAATGCCTTTACATTACATCGGGTTTAAAAAAAATACAAAATAAATAAATAGGCATCTCAACATGATCTTTTCATATTAAAATTCGCTCGAAATAAATTAAATCAGTCCTGTGGCAATTATTAAAACGTGACATAAGACTCAGTATTTACGAGGGGGGGAAACAAAATCAAATTTTAATAAAAGGATGATTATGATTTGGTATATTTCGGTTCCCTGGTGGATCAAATGGCGTCCGCAGGGACAGCAGGGAGGTTTGCTGAAATGTGACTGCCCTGCTCCCAATAAACTGCATTTCATGCTGCACGTTGAGTTGACAAGTTTCTCCCTTCATCAATCCACATTTGAAAAACCACAGTCTGGGCCTGCTCTGCACACCAGGCTCACATCCATTTCAGACAGGAATTTTAATTTGAATGAGCACTGCCTTTTTCCCGCACATGTCATTTACACTGCGACGAATGCAGGATGTCCCATTTATACAGCAAATTTGGCAATTGTCATTGCAGGAAAATACGAGGCCCTGTGCAGTGCGCCATAGAAATCCACTACCTACCGCAAAACAAGCAATAAGGTGTACAGGCCTGCGTCTCCTGTCTGTCTAACGCCTTTTACTCTTAATATCTACAAGCTTGTCTAAAAAAAATTTATCAGCAGCTCCACTTTGAACTGATGTAAGGCAGTCTCAAGTGGTGCGAATTCTGAAAGGCAAGAGGATGACAATTCTATTTTTATTCATCGCTACTGCACACATTTCGATGTGTCGGATTTTAAGAGTTAATAGGATTAGACGATTCTTGTGCATTTATGCAGGGGGAATTCCTAATCAGGCATTTTCCAAAACGGGCTTCAGAATGGGCGTGACCCAGTCAGAGAATGCGTCTCTTTTTCCTGCAAAGGGCCCAAAGGTGCTTCATCACCTTCTTCTAAACTGCTTAAGACCTGCTTAAGATTCCCAAACATCAGAGCACTGAAAACAATTAGGCTACGTTTTATGTCTTATGTTTCGAGAAAGACAAATAAGTTTGTCCTTTTACGCTGGTCCAAATGATTGTAATGTGGTTTTACTCTCCTTTTTTAAAAAATGTTCTTTTTGGTGGTTGTTGAGAATTAAAATGATCTGGCTAGCCTAAATAATATTGAAATTGTGTGGTCACTATTGACTATGCTGACATTAAATCGATACAGACGATGGAATTTTGTAGGTAATTATGCTTATGTAGCTCTTTGGGTGTAATTTCGCCTACATGATGTATTTTTCTGCAAAATATGAAACCCTCTCTCGATTTAATTTCTCTTATCGTTTTCTTTCTCGCCCCTTTTTAAAGCTTGGGGTGGGGGTTGTTGAGAGTAGGATGGAGGCTGTTTTGGGTAATTTGGCTGTCCTGCTTTTTTTTTTTTTTTTTTTGTTCTGGTTGGCAGCCGATTAACTGTGCTGACAAATCAGGCGCAAAAAGCCAAGGGCTCTCAAGGTAACACTAATCCCTCTGGGCGGGGAGAGTCAAATATTACGCAGGATTTTAGAGAATGCTCCTTTCTTTAATTCGCTCGTTTTTTTGCGTTCAGACGGTGCCAGTCACTTTCGTTTCTTGTATTTTTTATTTATTTTTTAAACGTGTGACATTGCTGGGCCATAACTATGATCTATTCCTTATCTAAAGTATCTGCTGTGCCGTCTTTACAGACATCCATTTTAAATATTATATTAAAACAGAAATGAAATAGAAATGGAAAGAAAAATGACTCTCCTTCTTTTTTTTTTTATTTCAGAATCATCCAGGCCTAACATGTACAGGCGTGTGAAATCTTAGGCCTGCCGTTTAATTTCTGCTAATGGACCAATTACAGTATTGGCAAGAAGCAAGATCATTTTTAAAAAGTCAGAAACCACAGGGAAAACAAAACCGACATAAGGGGAAAAAATAAACGCCACATTTAGAAAGACGGTAGGATGTTGCATAAACTGCTGGTGTCGGTGAGGGGAAAAGGCGAGGGATTTGTGGGTGTGTTCGCTGGTGGAGTGTGTATGTGGAGCTGATGGAGAGGTGTGTATCCAGGCTTTAGTTGTTGGCGTGCATGTGTAATATTTTTGAGTGTCTGCAGTCATTTGTGCATGTGTGAACATTCATCAGTGTGGCGTGTAGGATTATCATTTTATTCTGTGTCTTCTTACACTGGTAAGGTGTGTATGCAGCCCTCGGTGTGGTGTGTACGCACATGTCTGCATGGTGCAGGCGTGTGTCTGTGTGTGCGCGCGCGCGCAGTGTGTATGCAGGCGTTTGTGGGGTGGTGGGTGCTCTCTAGCTGGGTGATGTAATGCCGTGAAGGGTGCTGCAGCAGAACCACAGCGCCCAGAGAAGGCGTGTCCTGTCTGCAGAGTAGCTGGATAACAACACGGTGCCCACGCTGCACCCGCTGCCAAAATAACACCCCCCACCCCCCACCCCCCCCCCACAAACACACCCTCCATCCTTCACTTCCGCTCGTCTTCCCATTTTACATTTATCTGCCTTTTATTAGTCTGTTTTTATTTCTGCCTTTTTTAAAAAGAAATGAGCAGTCTGAGCAGCAGAGGCGATATGGAAATTAAAAAAGAGGACTGATTTACAAATGGTGATTTTTTTTTTTGTTGTTGCTAAAAACAGGATAATTCTGCTATTTTAATAATATTTACGGATTTATTTGAATCAGCTGCTTATTTTTAATAATACTTTTAATCAGTTTCTTTAGTGTTCCTGTCCCTCTGCTGATGAATGTTGTCTTAAATTCTGGTGAGGTGGTGAAAAGGGAAAGAGAGTGTGCATCCTTGCCCTGTCCCCCTGTGCAGTGTTTAAAATCAAAAAGCATGATTATTAATATTTTAAAATGGCTTTAGTGACCAATCACTTTAAAAAGACAAAGCTGATAATCAACGACATATGTTTTAGTCAGCTTAGACTGCAACTGATATTAAAATGTTTTGCAAAATCCATTCTGCCTTTTTATCAGTGTTCTTTCTTTAAACAGTGTCTAAATAGAAGCATTTTTGCATCTCAGCAGATGTGGCTGAGGTATCTTGCCCTGACTAACCAAGCTATATGGAGTGCTTTTAAGGTTGGGCGATATGATGATGTATAGTCTGAGACAATATAAATGTGTACTGTCGGAGATTAACTGAGATACCTTTTAATATGGTAGGTATTTAAATCGCTGTAGTAGCCAAAGACATTCCTGTCTAGTTTCAATAGCTTTCTCAAAATTAGCTTTGGGTATTGAATTTTTTATCAATTCCAAATTTGCTCATTGATTCCATTTCAATCAATTCCCATTTTCTGGTCCATTGTTGTTGAAATAAAAAAGGCAGTAAAATGTTTAGATAACAAAATATCTTAATTCATTTAAGTATTTACTTTGTATTGTTTCATTTAAACTAGCAAATCCAACTGAACATTCACAGAGGAAATACATACACTGCAAACATATGATCCACAGTCAGTACATAGATTGTCTTGTGGAAGCTGTGGTATTTGACACTCCTCAGTTTTCTCTTTGGTCCTCTTTTCCTGTATTGCCAAAAAGAACTGTGTCACAGTTTGGTATCCCTGGCTCTTGATGCAGGACGTAGATGGCCTAGCAGATGTAGCCTTTGTGATAATAAAGGGTCATTGCGTTTAGGAACTGATGAGCAGAACTGAAACTCCAATTTTTTTATTTTTTTTTAACGGGTACCCGGTTCTTGGCATTTTGGTTTGGTTCTAATTTGGAACTGGTTTTCTGTTCCCAACCCTAATCAAAATAGATACAATCTATTGTTAAAGTGATGCACAGCGACACACAGTACACTCTGATAGAGAATGTTGTTCATATCACCCACCACAAGCCCAAAGACATCGGTATAAGCCTAAGATGGTGGGAAAACGTTGTACCCAGAAGGGTTTGTGGCTGACTTGAAGGGTGTGTTTGCATCCTGAAGAGAGAAGATGAAGAGTAGTGTTGGGGTGTTTCATGAGATGCATGAGTGGGAGTGGATGAGGTGGAACATCGCTCCCTCTGTCTCTGTCGCTCCCCCTCTCCCTGTTCTACTCA